TCTTATTGGGTTTTTCACCACCAAGATCATGGATGCATTGGGTTTTTTTGCCAACTCCAAGATATTGAAATTAATTTTGTTATGATGAAATGATTTCATACCAAAATGTAACCTCCACTGTTATCTTAAATATGTTTCTTTCATTATATGTTAAATTCAACCGTTCTGTCAGTTTTGTATTTTCTGTCAATTTTTTAAACCTGGTGCCCCTAGTGGGGAAATAACTTATTACCTTCCTAGAGCAAGAAGTTGAAGATGTGCCAACGAGACAATTTCATCCAAGTCACAATTTGTAGAAATAAACCATATATGAAGTTTTTAGATGTTAGTAGTATTTGGGGACTATATTCATTTTGTTGACTTGCATTTCTTGCCATGGTGTTGTCAGTTTATATTATACTTAAGTTTTAAATGAGGTCAATTAGGTAAATTCCACTTTTTATACTTTATTGGAAAAGAAAGATATCAAGAAAGTAAGAAAAAAAACCGACTATGTGGTATTTGGTTTTGCTCATCGTTGAAAGCAGTACAGTGACCTGCCTCTGCTATAGGTGTTAACATTTATGTCATTTGGTCTCGGATAGAGAGTTTTTTCATTGGTAATTATACCACATGGATCTTATTTTATATTACAAGTACAGCAAATTTATCTATGGTCTATGATGTGCTTAATCGACAAGTTTTCTATATACCAAGTTGGATACTTTAGTCACTGTCACTGCAATTCAGTACCAATTGTTACTATCTATAACAGGTATAAGATTTATTCACTATGATTCAAGCACAAAAAAAATGCTAATTGAATATAAATAAAATTCTTGCCAACACGAATATTTATTTTTATTTCCATCTGTTTCTACCTGAAACAAAATTTTGGTTAATTATGTATTGTGATCATTGTCTCAGATTGTCAATTAAGAGGACAACTTTGGAATTTTAGACGGTCTTGGTTTGTACTGAGCATAAAGTCTCCCTCGACGTCGTTTCTTCTTGGTCATTTATAAACGAATAGATTGATAGGGATTGAATGATGTCGAAACTGGACCTAACATACTAATTTTCATCATAATGTTAAGTTGTATTTCTTTAAGAGATGCCCTATATTTACATTTAAGACGGTTTTGTGTACTAAAGCTTCTTTCACATTCTACGCTATCAGACTTAAGCATAGAGCTATCATTGCGAGCTTTGAAAATGCTGACATGATGTCTTTGTGTAACAGTATAAGTCTTCTACAAAGTTGATAAGTGTCACATTTGGAGTATGCACCATTTATCATTTCTTTCAGTCTGATCCATTCCTCCTTCAGTTTTACTCCATCTATTAATGGTTCTACAATCTTTTCTTTAACTTCTGTTCCTTCAATAAGATTTCCTTCAACAATTTTGGTTTTCTTTTCCTGACCATAAAATTTAGAAAGTCTTTCAACAGCATTGTCAGTGTCTGTGACATCTGGGCGATAACGCTCAGAGGTTCCAAAACCAAACTAAAATCTGTCAACAGATCTCCGTCCTTCCTGTGAAGTCTTTTCTTAATATTCTTAGACAAACTTTTTACATAGTCATCTCTGATTGTTTGAAATTCTTTATCCATGGTTGCTGAAAATGAAAGTTTCTCTCCCTTAAGCATTTTCTCATCTCCTGAAGTTTCAATCATTTTTCGCATTTCTAGTAGAGCTTCACCATCAGACACTTTCATGGTTTCAATTTTTGCAATTGTTCCTTCAATCAGGGGACGAATTTCACTAAACGACAAATTTTTCTTTTGGAAGCTACAGCTAAATATACTTAGCTCTGTGTGAACGTCTAACATAAAAGCTGTTACTAGTACAACTTTGTAGGAACTGAAGTATTTATGCAATCCCTTAGCGACAGGTGATTTTTCAGCAGCAAATTTTGATAACGTTGATACTATCGAAGAGTAAGATTCAAAAACAGCTTCCACTGCATTTTTTAGGCCAAGCCACCTTACAGAATGAGGATCCTTAACTGACAGTTCTGGTTCATTTAATAATGATTGAATATTCATTAAGGCAAAAACTCGATTTGCTGATGCAGTTATGAAATTGAATAAATTTGTGAATTTGTCTCTAAATTTAACCAAAAAGTCTTTCTCCTTAATGGAGTCAACACAAGCCAGGTTCAGTCGGTGGGCCACACAATGAGTTTGTAGACAATATGGTGCATATTTGCTTTTAATCTGCACACCTACCCCAGTTTTATGCCCTAGCATAACTGCTGCACCATCAGTGGCTAAAGAAACACAATTTTCTAGAGAAATTCCTAAATTTGAAAATTCATCAAAAACACAATTTACTATTGTAATAGCACAACCATCATTTAAATGTATATTACTTAGAAAGGTTGTGATAGGTTCAGCATTTTTTAACGTATCGGACACAAATAGACAGTCTTGTTTCTACCCCTATGTCAGTGCTCTCATCCAATATAACTGCGTATATAGGTGATGATTTAATATCATTTACTATAACATTGGTGAGTGTTTTGGCAATACAAGACTGAATATCCGAAATAGTGTCCCAGCTTAAATTTGAATATTTGCATTCAAGTCCGTTTTTCTTTTGTAAGTCTAACAATCCATTGACATTGGTTGTTGGCATTTCATTTTTTGATGCATGGTAAATTGTGTTGAATAAAATTTTATCATCATTTATAAGGGTGAACTGCGAGTCAGAATCTGTTTCAATCACATCACATTCAATATCCGAGTCAGTTTTAGTAATTGGGATATTTTTATTGATAATATCCAAGTGCTCGGCACTCTCGTTATGTCTTATAACTGCTGAGAGTTGAATATTTGAGGTCCCTTCATGGCCCCAAACGCTCGTTATGTTTTTGTCTCTTGTGGTAGATTTACATTCATTGCAATATATATATGCGACCCCCGATTTATCGACTTTTTGTAGCCAAGTATACTTTTCTTTCCAGGAGAAGAAGGTCTTATCTGACACTGTGTGTCTTTGTTTTTTGCTAGTATTTTCATTTGATGAAGAAACGGCATCGTTAATTATTTCGTTTATTATGTCATATGTAAACGGAGTTGTAGCCTCCTCCACTATAGTATTAATAATTTGGCGTGCATACTTCTGTGCCTCCGCATGGCGGTCTGTTGTCATATAATTCAAAAGACTGTAAGATTTTGCAACTAGTGTTGCTTTTTTTCTGCCTCGCCGACTCATGTTTTCTGAAATACATTTTATCAACTGGTCCCTTATGTTTACCAGGGATACAGTTTTGAGCAACGGACACTTCATACAGGGACCCAGATCAAGTATAATCTGTGATCGTAGTTCTGCCAATCAAGATGCAGATGCTACGCTCTATTTATAGAACGGAAGTAGAATTCCCTCAGAGAATTCCACTTATAAATATAACAAAAATAGATTAACGCGTCAACATTTCATTGATAAGGGTAAATAACGCACTCGACAGCGACTAGAAGGGTTGAAAACGCATAGTTTTGACATATAAATGGGTTTTTCTCTGCATGAATTGGGTTTTTGAACGCAGTTGAATAGTCATTTGTATTGGGTTTTCCATTGTTTTTATTGCGTAATCACGCAAATACGCAACTTATCTGGAGCTCTGCAGTCTTAACTGCATGCATGTTGTGTGACCATAAAAGGCTAAAATACCTGATTATGTCAATTTAAGAGCTGAAATTTCCCATAAACAGAATTGTTCATCCAAAAAAGATGATTAAACATGTTTACTTACATCAAATATGACTTATTTTCATTGGAATAGGTACAACTTCTAAAATTTGAATTTCTGATGATTCTCTGTAATGGGAAGTACACCACTAATTCATGGCTCCATTGCTTTCTATGTTAAATTCCTCAATTTCAAGCAGACACAGCTCTTTTGTTTCAAGTTCAAATAAAGTGACAATCATTGTATGTCAAAGCAACACTTTATGGTGTCTTGTACTGGAAAAATCAACATACCTTTAATGGCATATAAAAAAGAACTGGTTCCCAGAACTTCGGATGTACCAAAACAGGTACTTCAGATCTGACATACAGGCAAAAGTACCCTCTTTATAAAATTTGGTGCAGTTTTTTTAATATTCAAAATTATAAGTCAAAAAGTGTTCTACAATGATCACCAGTCATTCAGCTTTCATTTGATACCAACAATACCTAAATATTCTACATATTTTGAAAGTTACACTCATGCGTAGGAACTATTTTGTGTTAAATATGTACTACTTTCTGGTGTGTGCCTCCTGGCCGGGCCGAATTAGTGGTGTTACACCTTATGTGTTACCTGATACAAATGTCAGGCAGCTCTGAAAAAAAAGTCACGGATATTACATTGGATGGATAGACGAATTAACGGAAAGTCGAACAAACGGAATGACGACAGAACAGATATACATGTTTTAAAAAAAAGTCTACCCTCCCTCGAAGCGGGGGTTAAAGAGGTTAGGGGGTAGGTTTGTAATCACAGACATGTTTAAAATAAACCCTTTATACATTTGGTTATCTCATTTAAACTGTTTCACATATCAGAGCCTAAATAGTATGGGTTTGCTGATAATTGTAGTCCGCACTGTGACCTTTAGTGGCTTACATTTACGTCATTTGGTCCCTAGTGGATAGTTGTCGGATTGGCAATCATACCACATCTCCCTATTTTATTTAGTTCAATAAATATTTCAAATCATTTTAGATCGATAACCACATCAGAAAAAATGTTATTGATACTTAGGCTGTTTCTACAACACATCATTAATTCAAACTATTTTTTTTTGCTTGGTCATTGTTTTGAAGATTAAATTAAAAAAAAAACTCTAGGAAGTTCGGGTATTTTTTGTATCAAAACAAAAATATGACAATAAACAACAAACAATACAGCTGGAACATGCATTTTCCCATCCGTTACATATATACATGTACTTCTGTAATATGATTCTATCGACTGCTTAATTTCAATATATGTATTACCTGTATGATTAAGTTAGTTTAGCATATTCTGGTTAAGGAAACGTAACAAACAATATCTTGAAATCAAACATGACAAAACTGTTATCATTTTTTTGTGTTTTTACATTTGTGTCAACCGTGCATTCTAAGGGTAAGTATTGAAGTATATTTAAGGATTGTATAGATCGTACATTCTAAGGGTAAGTATTGAAGTATATTTAAGGATTGTATAGATCGTACATTCTTCAGTATGTTTAATGATTTTATAGATGAACGTTCTAAAGTATATTTAAGGATTTTATAGATCGTACATTCTTTAGTATATTTAATGATTTTATAGATCGTACATTCTTTAGTATATTTAAGGATTTTATAGATCGTACATTCTTTAGTATATTTAATGATTTTATAAATCGTACATTCTTTAGTATATTTAAGGATTTTATAGATCGTACATTCTTTAGTATATTTAAGGATTTTATAGATCGTACATTCTTTAGTATATTTAATGATTTTATAGATCAAACATTCTTAAGTATATTTAAGGATTTTATAGATCGTACATTCTTTAGTATATTTAAGGATTTTATAGATCGTACATTCTTAAAGTATATTTAAGGATTTTATACATCGAACATTCTTCAGTATACTAAATGATTTTATAGATCGTACATTCTTAAATATATATAAGAATATGTGGTATGAGTGCCAATGAGACAACTCTCCATCCCAGTCACTATTTATACAAGTAAACCATTATAGGTCAAAGTACAGTCTTCAAGTATATTTAAGGATTTTATAGAACGTACATTATTAAGTATATTCAAGGATTTTATAGATGTGTTCTGAAATGATAATATGTTCCATCGGAAGAAGTTTGTAAATAACATTGTACGTATTTTTGTACTTTTAGTATGGTTTCCCGTTTTTGTAGCCTTTGAAAAGAATGGACAGTCAGTATATGATTCTTGGAGAACCCCATCGTTGTGTAATGAATTACCAACCATACTCAAAACAACAGGCAGAGGAAAACATTTGCGTAACCATGTTATTGATCACTGGACAGAAATGAACATCAACATGGTATTAGATAAATATTGTCTAAAAGGAAAATCCTTCATGAATAAATACTTTATTATAATACATAAATCGATGGATGGATATGTAGTTAACGTCCAGTGGCAAATTAAATGCATATTCAGGACGAGAACATGATACTGTAATATGAATGTAAACATAGCTGTGTTTTACGACACGATGAGCCTGATTTTCAACGTTATAGTTCCCAAGGTAACACATTTTCAGCCTGAAGACATGTCACTCTACCCGAACACATTATTTTGACTCCAAGCCGACCAGTCTTTGCTCTTATTTCTAAATGCCGCGTGCCTAGCGGAGGAAATATCAATTTTCGAGTCTCTGATTTGACTCGACCGGGGTCGAGCACGCTACTACGAGACTATCGGGGTGGTCATATTTTAAATGAAATGAAGAACATATCGTGGATTCATAAAAGAAAAGGATAAACAAAACGGTTATTCATAAAGAAATTTATAAATAGGATTTTTCGTAAACTACGGAACATATACTAACGCCATTAAAATCATTAAAAAGAAAGATGACTGGGTTATGAATAATAAATGAAATATCAAGTTTATTAAAATTTGTCTTTGTAAAAATTAAAAAAAAACTTTTGTACATATGAATGCACCAAACTTACTGAAACAATTCAAACAAAACAATTTGCGAACAATGGTTACGGGTAAATATTTGTACGAATAAATGGTACACCTCAAGTAGACAGCAACCAAATGACACAAAAACCAAAAACCAAAAAACATTTTAAAGCAAACTAAACAAGTACAAACACGGTAAAGAAAACTGCAAATTAGTCCCATGCTGTTGTGGCTAAATCAAACTGAATAATCAATTATTCGTATAAAGAACGCATATCCATGAAAACGTATCCCCCTTTTTGTCATTATTACTCGATTTCACTTTTTTTCTTTCAAGGTTAAAGTTGAACTCTACCAAAAGAATGAACAGGTAGTTTGGATGACATTTAATGCAAAAAATTCAAATAACCTGAACTGGTTTTCCAAAAAAAACTTGTATCGAAGCAGTTTTTGGGATCTATCACGTTGGCGTACAACGAACTTTTTCTCTGCTGAAGGGTAAGTATTAACATAGTACCTGAAAATATAGTGGCGGGCAAAAAAGCAAGCGGCCTGCAATAAACCTCTGATTTATAATTGTTGTAATGTGTGTGGTGGTTCTGCGGAGAGGTTAGTTTCAACATTACCTGAACAGATAGTGTCAGGCAATAATAACGCAAGTGGCCCGCAATACAACTCTTTTTTTTATGATTATTGTAAAGTGTGTGGTGGATCTGCTGAAAGGTTAGTTTTAACATTCCTGAAAAGCTAGAAGTAGGCAAAAAAATCTGTGAAAAATTATTGATAAATTCTCAAACATTTCATTTTGAAATATTCCGAAAATTTTAAGTATTGAGTAAAAATGTACTATAACATTAAAAATTATTCTGTGATTTTTTTTTCATAAAATCTAGGAAACTATTTGACTAAACAGGTCAATGAAATTCTCTTTCAAGTTTATACATTACTCTACTGTATGGTGTAGTTGTTTTAAAAGGGTGATAAAAAATACTATCTATTTTTCACAATTCCATGTTTAAAGTAAACAGCAATCGACAAACCCTACACTAAATGATATCAAAACCGTATACACTGTACATGGAAATGACCATCCACAATAATTATAAAAAAAAACGACATGTTTCAAATTGTTTTGAGTTCAATCACTTTGATATTGCTTCTGAATACCTGATTAAGATTTTAAGATATACGTCAATATTCATTAACATCGTATCAGAAGAATATTTCGTACAAATGTACACTTAGAAACTTCATCTTCTGATATTGACCAATTATTTAACCAATTCATAATATGTACTATGTAATAAAGACTGATCTAAGTAAAGTGTATTCATGTTCGAGACAAATATTTTGACGAAACAAACGGTAAAAAAGTCACATAATATCAGCTCTATACTACACAAACATCACGTTATTATATGTTACCCCAGTTTGTTGTTTTCATATTTCCATCTATAAGAAAGATCCCAAAAATTCGAAGTCGAAGTGGAATCAATACATTTAAAGGACGTGTTACATTTGAGATCGGCCTTTTAGTTAAGAAATAATTCATGCAAGCCATAGATTTGATGGAAATTTTCACATGGCCTGGACCGTTATATTCGAATTTTATCTCGAGCGTTTCAGGCCATGTGAAAATGATAACAAATCTATGGCTTGAATGAATTATTTCGATTCTAAAAGGACAAATACGGCAATTTGAAAAACTGAAGCAAAGGTAGGATTACCGTGTGTATGGCTGTTCTATTTTACCCCTGTAAAATAAAAGCTACACATTTCAAATAACCATTAGAAAAAAATGTGTTCAATCCTTATAATTCTGAACCCAAACATTTTTTTTGTTGGCTACTATTTACTGTCAAATCCACAGTTTATATGTCGTAACTTAGAAGTAAGCCGCCATGTGGCTTGCTGAAATCTATAAATGTGCGAATGATGCAATAGAATAGAAAATGAAACAACACCTACCTCAAAACTCCATTTTAATGCGACATTATCAGAGCGTACACGTAACGAAATAATCTTCCGCTTGAGAGTTTTCATTCGTATGACGTCATGTTTTTGACATGACGTTAATGCGCAAAGATCATTCATGAAATTTCGCGGAATTTTTTATTTTTTTTATTTTATACATTTTTTAAGATCTTAAGCATTAACTGTTTTTGTTATGCAATGCATTAATTCTTTTTGTTATACATTAGAATAGGAATAACGAGTTTCTTTTTAAATATCAATTTGAACACAAAGAAATCCACATAGTGGTTGCACATAGGTTACGATACATGTGGATTTACGTGGGAGGTAAATAGTAACAGCCATTAATATGTACATCTCTGAGTCTGCGCTAAGTACAGATATATCGAGAATTTCATCACGCTGTTGTTTACAAAGCGAAAGAGGCACGTCTTATTAGGATCATTATTAAACATTCACCCTGACATGATGCAATCATAGGACCAGAATACTGTGTCCCTATAATCCATTAAGATGGTAAACCCAAATTGTCTGTCTAATCTTATAAATTCTTTAAGAAATGGAAATCTAAACATTATATCATTATACGAACTCATTCGCCATCGTTGTTACTCGGATAATTGGTCCAAATATATGAGCATAAGCTTCACTTTACTGATACATGTATCAACAAACAAAAACAATTCATTTTATACATATGGACAACAGGAGATGTGGATAGACCTCAATGAGACAGTAACCCAACTATAATCTGGACCATGATGTGTTGTTTGTTGTTGTTTGTCTTTGTTTGTATATCTTTTTTTCAAAGGAGTTAAGAGTTTGGTTGTTGGTGTGGTCTGTTTTACTGTCCAATATTTTGTGGTAATTGTTGTCGGCCCTTTTTTATTAATAATTGATTATGATATTCTTTTAATGTTCTGTAAGTTAAAAGACTTTTACTTATCTATAAAGGTAAGGTTATTGAAATCATGTTACTTTAAAATGGATTATATATTGTTAAATTTCCCGTTTTTGGTGTAAATGACATGTTTCTTTTTTCTCATTATAATTTCTGTTTTAATTGAAGACATTTCATTAAAAATCACGTAACGAGGAGGTTTTTTATAAATGAAAAATATGACAGTTGTCCGGGTGATTCTGGTTGGTTTTGTATAGAGGAAAAACATGACGTCTGTAAGTGGGGTCAGTTCAGCAGATATCCAGTATTCATGTACACTAAACAAGGACACAACTGGACTACAGGTATTATATACAAAGCATGTGTTTATCATTATTTTTAGAAAGGTTGTGCATTCATTTTAATTCAAATATTAATTAATTACCAGTAAATTCACAGTCCCTTATAAAACAAATAAAAGCATATCTATCATTTATCAATCAACATGATCAACAACTACGCTCGAAACACTGATCTAGTGGCAATTTACAGTACACCACAGCAACTTATCGCAGTGCCAGCTGAGTTCCAATTCTGACTCTAAATAACTTGTTGGGATATATACACAATGTAACACAGATAATCAAAAATCGGCCACTTAATCTTAGTCCCCTTAGCCTAGTGACAAAAGCAAAATAGAACAAAACAAAAAGTATGTCTTTAGCAAGACTTAGTATGGGAGTTTTTGCGAATCGGTAACAAATAATCGAAAATTCATACAATTTTCTTCTATACTAATTTTTGTTTAACAAATGCATGATTTATTACTGATTTTATATAAACACTTTGGTATACAGGGGGAGTATCATTCTTATAGATAATTATTCTTTATTGAAGAATGTACTGTATTTATCTAAAATTTTATGTTGTAACAACAAAACGATCCTGAATGCACTTAATGTTAAATTTGATCTCATATGTTTAATCTCAAAATTCCGTCATGTAGTTTTTCGTTCGACGAGGATTTAGACTTGGAACAGGTACATGAACATTAAAGAGTACACGACTTTTGCTCTTTTCGTTTTTTTTTTGTTGTTGTTGTTGTCAATCCTGCTTTTAGGATCGATTAGTCAAATAATTACATTGAAAAAAAATGTTACCACTAAAATTACAAATTTATATTTTACAGATGCTGCTACTGCCGATACCTTAGTCATTTCTGTTTCTATGGACTTATAATAGAAAAACGGTATATAATAAATAAAATGTTATTTCACTGAAAGAGTTGTTTTTATCCAAGCTTGAGAGAAGAAGTCCTTTTTTCGGACTGCATTTTATCACTATTCAGGTTCTCACTGGAATATAACGAACAAGTACAAATTGTATTTATATAAAAGAGTAGCGGACATTAACAGCATTTTTGTTTTTTTGAGAATAATGTATTGATAGAAGATCTTTGAAAGTTTCTGTTTAATTTATTACAACTTTAATAGTCTATGGGCCAAAAAGCGTGTGGCATAATGTATAAACGGACACCTGTCTTTTGCTGAAGACTGTAAATTATGCAGTCCTACATTGTATAGACGGACACTTGCCTCTTGTTGAAGACTTATGTTACCCTCCAGATGTATCTTGCATCTTATTGTATGAACACACACCTGTCTCGTGTATAGATTGACACCTGTCTCTTGTATAGATTGACACCTGTCTATTGTATAGATTGACACCTGTCTCTTGTTGAAACTGTATGTTTTCCCCCAGATGTCTGTTGGTTATTCATGTTATTTGTATAGACGAAAACCTGTCTCTTGCTGAACACTGTACCCCTCAAAACCCCCCGGTGTCTGTTGGTTATTTGTATAGACAAAAACCTGTCTCTTGCTGAAGACTTTACCCTCCCCCTCAAACCCCCAACGTCTGTTGGTTATTATTTTAAAGACGGGCACATGTTAGTTGTTGAAGACTGTATGTTGCCTCCTACATATGTAGAATTGAGAATGTAAACGAGGAATGTGTCAAAGAGACAACAACCCGACCAAAGAGCAAACAACAGTCCAGGCTATCCAATGGGTCTTAAACGCAGCAAGAAAACCCCGCACCCGGAGGCGGGCTTCAGCTGACCCTTAAACAATAATGTATACTATTTCAGCAAAATGGTCGCCACACTAAACTCTGAAATATATAAATGAACCAAAATTTAAAAAAAAACACACACAAGACTAACAAAGGCTAGAGGTTCCTGACTTGGGACAGGCGCAAAAATGCGGTTGGGTTAAACATGTTTTGTGAGATCTCAACCCTCCCCTATATTTCTAGCCAATGTGGAATAAACAAACACACAGCAATACGCACAGTAAAACTCAGTTTATAAGAAGTCCGAGTCCGATGTAATACAGAGATTTATTTTGTTAAAATCAAATACGTTGTTACATAGACGAGCGAATCGAACATGTTGAGATATATAAACACCATAAGATAGTGCCAAGGGAACTTCACCATCTAGAAAAGAACAATTAACAATAGGAAATTAAAAATCAACTCTTTTATCGTAAATTTTAGTACTGTATTAAGCTTCACGTTATAGATATCAAGATCCAGGAAAGGGCAGTGTTCATTGTTAGTATTAGCTTTATTCAAAGTAAGTTCAACATGATGTGTTGGTTATTTTTATGGTTGGGTTGCTGTCTTGTTGATGCACCTCCTTTTATTTAAATGTAGACACATTTTTGGTCAAAAACTAATCCGTAAATCAATCCAAAAAATTCATAGAACAGAGAAAGTTTCTTTAATATTTTTTTTTAGAATCCATTAACGGTTATGGTTGCGATTCGTATCGCTTCGTTTCTAGAAACAGCCTCATCTAAAAAAAATCAAAACTAAAAAAAATGTATTTTATCCATTCATTTTATTTCACTTTATCAGTTTTCTTTAATAAAAAAAAAGGAGTACAAAAACCACTTCAAACATTCCTTTAATCCTTTATGTTAAATGCATCTTGGATATTAGATTTAGAATTTTTAGTTAATAATTCCAAAACTCCAGATAAGGCCTATCTAAACTAAATCTCAGTTTATCGAATGATCCTTTTGATTTTCAAGCGCACCTACCTGTATATTGTTCAACCAAGATAAAGTTGAAAGCGGAATTGGTATCAGTATATTTTGTTATCAACAGTTTAGTTTGAAGATTGTATAATTAATAACCTTCAGAAAAAGTGCTTACAAAGTCAGCATGGTATTATACTGAGTGGGTGTGAAATTGTCCGTTTGCTCTTTGAACTTGAACAAAGTAGTGAATCAAATATTTAAAAAGGAATTTTATGAAACTTGTTAGAAGTGTACTATCTATTTTTTTTTTGGAGTGACAGTATTCAACAAACAACTATGGCTACCAAAGCTAGCTTCCTGTAGTAGTGAGTACATTTTGTGCGCTGGTAACACTGGTTTACCCCTATAATTTGATGCCTATACCAAGTCAGGCTATCTAAACCATGTATTTTTCGTTGTTGTTTGTCTTTGGCTGAACCTCTATTTATTTCAGAGTAGTTGGTGGTGGGTTTGGTTTGTTATACGTCTATTTATTTCAGAGTAGTTGGTGGTGGGTTTGGTTTGTTATACGTCTATCTATTACAGAGTAGTATGTGGCGGGTTTGGTTTGTTTTAATGTCTTTTTATGTCAGAGTAGTTGGTGGTGGGTTTGGTTTGTTGTAATGTCTTTGGTTGTACGTCTATTTATTACAGAGTAGTATGTGGTGGGTTTGGTTTGTTGTACGTCTATTTATTACAGAGTAGTTGGTGGTGGGTTTGGTTTGTTGTACGTCTATTTATTTTAGAGTAGTTGGTGGTGGGTTAAGTTTGTTGTACGTCGATTTATTTCAGAGTATTTGGTGGTGGGTTTGGTTTGTTATACGTCGATTTATTCCAGAGTATTTGGTGGTGGGTTTGGTTTGTTATACGTCTATTTATTACGGAGTATAATGTGGTGGGTTTGTTTTGTTGTAATGTCTATTTATTTCAGAGAAGTTGGTGATGGGTTTGGTTTGTTGTAATGTCTATTTATTACAGAGTAGTATGTGGTGGGTTTGGTTTGTTGTAATGTCTATTTATTTCAGAGTAGTTGGTGGTGGGTTTGGTTTGTGATACGTCTATTTATGTCAGAGTCGTTGGTGGTGGGTTTGGTTTGTTATACGTCTATTTATTACAGAGTAGTATGTGGCGGGTTTGGTTTGTTGCAATGTCTATTTATGACAGAGTAGTTGGTGGTGGATTTGGTTTGTTGTAATGTCTTTGGTTGTACGTCTATTTATAACAGAGTAGTATGTGGTGGGTTTGATTTGTTGTACGTCTATTTATTACAGAGTAGTTGGTGGTGGGTTTGGTTTGTTGTACGTCTATTTATTACAGAATAGTTGGTGGTGGGTTTGGTTTATTGTAATGTCTATTTATTACAGAGTAGTATGTGGTGGGTTTGGTTTGTTGTACGTCTCTTTATTACAGAGTAGTTGGTGGTGGGTTTGGTTTATTGTAATGTCTATTTAATACAGAGTAGTATGTGGTTGGTTTGGTTTGTTGTAATGTCTATTTATTACAGAGAAGTATGTGGTGGGTTTGGTTTGTTGTAATGTCTATTTATTACAGAGTAGTATGTGGTGGGTTTGGTTTATTGTAATGTCTATTTATTACAGAGTAGTATGTGGTTGGTTTGGTTTGTTGTAATGTCTAATTATTTTAGAGTAGTTGGTGGTGGGTTTGGTTTGTTGTACGTCTATTAATTCCAGAGTAGTATGTGGTTGGTTTGGTTTGTTGTAATGTCTATTTATTTCAGAGTAGTTGGTGGTGGGTGTGGTTTGTTGTAATGTCTATTTATTACAGAGCAGTATGTGGTGGGTTTGGTTTGTTGTAATGTCTATTTATTTCAGAGTAGTATGTGGTGGGTTTGGTTTGTTGTAATGTCTACTTATTTCAGAGTAGTTGGTGGTTTGTTTGGTTTGTTGTAATGTCTATTTATGTCAGAGAAGTTGGTGGTGGTTTTGGTTTGTTGTAATGTCTTTGGTTGTACGTCTATTTATTACAGAGTAGTATGTGGTGGGTTTGGTTTGTTGTACGTCTATTTATTTCAGAGTAGTTGGTGGTGGGTTTGGTTTGTTATACGTCTATTCATTACAGAGTAGTTGGTGGTGGGTTTGGTTTGTTGTACGTCTATTTATTTCAGAGTAGTTGGTGGTGGGTTTGGTTTGTTGTACGTCTATTTATTTCAGAGTAGTTGGTGGATGGGTTTGGTTTGTTATACGTCGATTTATTTCAGAGTAGTTGGTGGTGGGTTTGGTTTGTTGTACGTCTATTTATTTCAGAGTAGTTGGTAGTGGGTTTGGTTTGTTGTACGTCTATTTATTTTAGAGTAGTTGGTGGTGGGTTAAGTTTGTTGTACGTCTATTTATTTCAGAGTAGTTGGTGGTGGGTTTGGTTTGTTGTACGTCTATCTATTTCAGAGTAGTTGGTGGTGGGTTTAGTTTGTTGTACGTCTATTTATTTCAGAGTAGTTTGTGGTGGGTTAGGTTTATTGTACGTCGATTTATTTCAGAGTATTTGGTTGTGGGTTTGGTTTGTTATACGTCGATTTATTTCAGAGTATTTGGCGGTGGGTTTGCTTTGTTATACGTCTATTTATTACAGCGTATAATGTGGTGGGTTTGGTTTGTTGCAATGTCTATTTATTTCAAAGTAGTTGGTGATGGGTTTGGTTTGTTGTAATGTCTATTTATTACAGAGTAGTATGTGGTGGGTTTGGTTTGTTGTAATGTCTATTTATTTCAGAGTAGTATGTGGTGGGTTTGGTTTGTTGTAATGTCTATTTATTTCAGAGTAGTTGGTGGTTTGTTTGGTTTGTTGTAATGTCTATTTATGTCAGAGTAGTTGGTGGTGGTTTTGGTTTGTTGTAATGTCTATTTATTACAGAGTAGTATGTGGTGGGTTTGGTTTGTTGTACGTCTATTTATTACAGAGTAGTTGGTGGTGGGTTTGGTTTGTTGTAATGTCTATTTATTACAGAGTAGTATGTGGTGGGTTTGGTTTGTTGTAATGTCTATTTATTACAGAGTAGTATGTGGTGGGTTTGGTTTGTTGTAATGTCTATTTATTACAGAGTAGTATGTGGTGGATTTGGTTTATTCTGATGTCTATTTATTACAGAATAGTATGTGGTTGGTTTGGTTTGTTGTAATGTCTAATTATTTTAGAGTAGTTGGTGGTGGGTTTGGTTTAGTGTACGTCTATTATTCCAGAG